TACCAAGGTATTTTTTGAGCTCGTTGAACGCGAGCTGATAGTCTTGGGTCCATTCGAACCCTTTGTTTTTAATTGCTTTAAAGAAAGGTAGGCAACGATCTGCCGACTTGGACATGAAGCGGCTCAGGATGGCTATTCGGCCATTCAGCCTCTGAACCTCCTTCATTTTCCGGGGTGGTTGCATGTCTAAGATAGCCTTTATTTTGTCTGGGTTGGCCTCAATGTCACACCGGTTCATGATGTACCCCAGGAATTTACCCGATGTGACTCCAAAGGCACACTTATTCGGGTTCAACTTCATATTGAATTTACGCAGAATTTCAAAAACTAAGTTCAAGTCTTGTATTAAGTCGCAAGAAAGCTGGGTTTTGACGACCATGTCATCTACATAACATTCCACCTTTTGGCCAATCAATGGCTCGAATAGTTTATTTACAAGTCTTTGGAAGGTCGCCCCGACATTTTTTAATCCGAAGGGCATGACCTTGTAACATTACAGGCTGAGCTCGGTTATGAAGGCAGTTTTCTCTTCATCGGCTGGGTCCATCTTGATCTAATTGTAGCCCGAGTAGGCATCTAGAAAGCTCAGCAACTCATGCCCCAAGGTTGCGTCCACTAGGCGGTCAATCCTGGGGAGTGGGAAGCAGTCCTTTGGGCAAGCTCGGTTCAAGTCGGTGTAGTCGACGCACATGCGCTATTTACCATTAGCCTTTTTCACCAGAACAGGGTTGGCCACCCACCTCGGGTAATGGACTTCCCTAATAAAATTGGCTGCAAGGAGCTTTCCGACCTCCTCGTCGACTGCCCTCCACCGCTCTGGGGCTCGGTTGTGTTTCTTCTATCAAACGGGCCTAACTACATGATCAGTATTAAGCTTATGAGTTATGATGTAGGGGTCTATGCTGGGCATTTCCGCCGCGGACCAAGCAAAAACATCTAAATTCTTATGTAGAAAGCATACCAGTTTGGATCGTAGGGGCTCCTCGATGGAAGCACCGATCTGAAGTGTTCGGGCAAGGTCCTTTGTCAAGGTTGGGATAGAGATGGTCTCCTCCGTAGGCGCAGCTCACTCCTCACTCTGCTCCGTGGGTCGCTCCAGCTCGAGGTTGTCGGCCACCTTGTCTTTTCCCTTGAGGGCGGCGACGTAGCATTTGCGAGACTCAAGCTGGTCACCTTACACTACCCCGATGCCAAATCCGTGGGGAACTTCATGGCCAAGTAGTAGGTGGACACCACGGTCCGTAAAGCATGGGTAATCGGCCGACCTATTATGGCGTTGTACGGGGAGGGGGTTGCGACCACCAAGAAGCCGTGGTTGAGCCTCACAATACTAGGCCAGGAGCCGACTTCCACAGGTACCGTCACCCTTCCTAGGGGCCGAACTTCCTCTCCGCTGAAGCCCACTAGGGGAGTGTTCACGGGCTTTAAGTCACCCTCCTGAAGCTGAAATTTGTCGAAGGCCACTTTGAAGAGGATGTCTGCCGAGCTGCCTGAATCGATGAGGACTCGCTTGACTTCGAAGTCATTGATCTTCACCTTTATGATGAGCGCATCGTCATGGGGGTAGTGGACCTCGCATGCATCGTCCTCTATGAAGAAGATGGGGTCTTCTGTCCTTGGTCGCTTTGGAGGGTTCTGCCCTTCCCTGCCGATCTCGCGAGCTGATGCGCGAGATGCTGCTGAGGTGCAGTCCGCCACGATCGAGCCTCCAACTATAACATGGATGATCCCCCGGACTGGTCTCTCCTCGAGGGGTTGCTTCTGTAGTTGTTCTGCTTGCCTGTTGGACTCGGGAGCGTCTCTACTTTGCTCCCCTTGTTGACCTGCTTTATTATTATTATTATTATTATTATTATTATTATTATTATTATTATTATTATTTTGTATAAAATTTTGTAAATATCCGCGATGGATGAGCTCTTTTATATCATCACGGAGGTTTTTACAACTCTTGGTACTATGACCGCGATCTTTATGAAAACTACAATACAAATTTTTATTCCGGGTGCTAGGGTCGGCCTTCAGTCGAGGTGGCCACTTCACATATGGAGCGTCCTTGATCGCCATGAGGATCTCAGCCCATTTTGTGTTGAGGGGCGTGTAGTCCCTTTCTGCTGCTGGAGCTCGGGAGGGCTGAACTGGCCTCGCCCCCCGAGCTATGTCCTTCTTCTTTTTGTTGTCCCCCTGAGACGGGGGTTCTGGCTCCCTCTTTCTTTTTTTTGGGGCTTGCTCGCTCTTCTGGTTGATCTCCTCCTCAGTCCCAATAAACTGATCCGCGAGCTTAAGGAATTCGGTTACAGTTTTGGGTTGGTTGACAACTATGTGCCACTTGAACTCCTTATGGGTGATACCTCGCTTGGCTACTATGAGGCAAACTGCGGGATCCAGGTCGAGTATCTGCAAACAAGCGTCATTGAACCGTTTGATGTAGCTCCGGATGGACTCCCCTTCCTTTTGCACTATGTCGAGGAGTCTCTCCTGAGTTCGCGGGCATTTCTTGTTGGTGACGAAGTGGGAGGTGAAAATTTGCACGAACTGTGCCCAACTTCTTATCGAGCCAGGCACGAGGTTTCAGTACCAGGTGCGGGCCACTCCCTTGAAGGCAATGGAAAAGGCCATGCACATGCAGGACTCGTTGGCTCGTGCCAAGTGCCATTGTAAGAGGCACATTCAAACTAGGGACTCCATCCATGGTGAGGGGGACGGTAAACTGTCCAATGGAGACAACAGGAAGCTGGGGCTGCTGCCTAGAAGCGTTCTAGTTGTTGCCACGTCCGGCATTGCTGGAAGAAGCCATGAAGAATGTTAAATTTTTGGAAGAAGGTGTTGTAAAAGCTTGGAGGAAGGTTTTTAGAAGTGTTTCCCATAGACAGTGCCAAATGATGCGGCACGATCCGGGCACTCCTAGCTGGCTGTTGACTGGCTCCTTGTTGGCAATGAATGGCACCTGAGAAGATGAAGAAGAAGGATTCCCGGGGCTTTGCCCGGCGGGAATACTTCGAAGCTTAAGTTAGAACACTAGGGAGGAAGAAGAGAGAGTATAAAAGGCTAAGAGCGTAGATCGCACTGGATCACTATGTCTCGAGATTAGCTCGTGAGCAAGTAAGAGTGCAAGTTCAGATCTAATTCGAGCGAGAGAGTCTATCTCTCTGCTTAAAGGGCTTTTATAGGGGCGTTCTTGTCAAATCAGGCGTAACCGCCACTGGGCTCCTGTCGCAGCCGTTACCTGCCAGGGCTGCGCAGGTGATCGTTACAATGTACTACCCGCTTGGCTGAATGAAACGTCTTCGAAGGGATAGCCACGCCACCATCTGTCGAGAGACGTGGGGTAGACTATCAATCAGGCAGGGACTGCGCCGTTAGTTGAGAGACGTGGCACAGTCTGATGAGTACAGTCTTGTCAGATGGAAGCTTCCTGAGAGCGTCGCATCACAGTTGCAAGTTACTTCGAAGCGGGCTATCCTTGCCGTGAGCTACTTTGTAGCAAGCTCTTAGGGGTACTTCGAGGTGACCCTTATCAAGGTTGGTCTTTGGGGCAGTTCTTCTGCCCAGGTGCTGGATACCAAGTGTGTTTTTCCAAGTTGCACCTCTAGCATTATGTGATTACTGATTAGTCTTGAGGTGTCAACCGGACAGATTTGGTCCAACCCGATCCAGTCCAATGTGAGTCCACTTATAATGGACTGAACCCAATCCAGTCCAAATCAAATTCAATCCATTAAAATGTAAATGGATTGGATTGGATCCAATCTAAACCGAATGAAATATAAAAAATTATATAAAAGCATTTTTAGCATTGAAAAAACACTTTTGTAAAAGTACTTTGATAAAAATATTTTTATAAAAGTGTTTTTACAAAAGCACTTTATTGAAAGTACTTTGGCAAAGTGTTTTTGTAAAAGTAATACTTCTATAAATTTTTTTTTGTAAAAGTGATTTCATAAAAGTGTTCATGTAAAAGTAATTTTATAAAAGTGCTTTCATAAAAATACTTTTGTAAAAGTTCTTTCGTAAAAGTACTTTTGTAAGAGTGCTTTCATAAAAGTACTTTTGTAGAAGTGATTTTGTAAAAGTGCTTTTATAAAACTTCTATAAAAGTGCTTTCATAAAAGTACTTTTGTAAAAATGCTTTTGTAAAAGTATTTTTATAAAAGTGTTTTTGTAAAAATACTTTTCATAAAAGCACTTTTATAAAATGTTTTCATAAAAGTGATTTTATGTTGTTTTCAGTTTTGATTGATTTATAGTTGGACAAGGGTTTGGCCTCATGATCGGATTATTGGAAATTTGGTTCAGGTCTAATTCAAACTAATAAGAATATGGATCAACTTACTTTGGATTGACCCAATCCAATAATTATAATAGACCGTCCAAATCCAATTTGATAAGGTTTAGACGGATTGGATCCAAACCAAAACCGGTTAATTGACACCCCTACTGATTACACCGTACATATTCAATGATTGCACTTAGTGCTCAGTTTGGTAGAAGTACAAATACAAATATATACAATATAAACACATACAAAATAATACAAAGTACAAGATTTTGTACTCTACAAATTTGTACTTATACTCCTTCCAAACTGGGCCTAGCGAACAATATAATTACATGCACTCAACATTAAAGCCCATTTGCATTAGCACAAATGCACAATCAGGAATTGCTTGCGTACAAGAAATCCACTCTTTTTCTTTCTCTAATTGTAACTGATAAAAGGGAATCTAATTAATATATAGAGTAGCATGAAAGGAGACGCTTCTCTATTCTTAGTTTGCACTTTGCAAACGGCTCATTCTCTTCATATTTGCCCTCTTTTATTCTTAAGCCATTGGATGCGGTTAAAAGATTCCAATTGCACGGTGCTTGTTCATTGCCACAGACCATACTTTGTGATGCCTGCTCTATTGCTCAACCCAACCTTATCTCATCTTAGTCTAATTTTCATGTATTCTTTTTTTTTTTTTTTCGTTAATTTCTGTACCGCCAATTATCTTCTTGTACATATATTAATTCGATTTCTTTGGAACGCTTGTCAATACATCCACCATACCACCATGCCTCCACCTAACAGCCTGTTGTTTCCTTCACTTCTCTTCCTCCTCTCATTCTTCTTCATCCTCATCTTCAGTCGTCAAGTGGGTAAGAAATCATCCTCACCTCCGGTTAGTAAGCTGCCGAGATCTTACCCATTAATCGGCTCTGCGTTTGCCATCTTCAAGAATCGGAATCGACGGAACCAATGGTTTGCAGAGCTTATCAGAGACTCCTCTAATGGAACCTTTATTCTTCATCGCTTTCTTGGTGTTCGTCATGTCTTAACTGCCAACCCCGCCAACGTCCAACACATCCTCAAAACTCAGTTCCATCTCTATCCAAAAGGCCACACCGCTCGGGTCAACCTCTCCGATTTTCTGGGTGACGGAATCTTCAATGCTGACGGGGATAACTGGAAGTTTCAGAGGCAAGTGTCGATCCACGAGTTCAGCACGAGGTCCCTCCGCAAGTTTGTCGAGACTGTCGTCGAGGCCGAACTCTCCGACCGTCTAGTTCCCATCCTCTCAAAGGCTGCCGCCGAGAATTCTGTGCTCAATCTGGAAGACATACTTCAACGGTTTGCCTTCGACAATATTTGCAAGATTGCGTTTGGATTCGACCCACAATATTTGTTGCCGTCGCTCCCATCAGCGGAATTCGCCGTCGCGTTCGATGACGCTGCGAGGATAACCAGCGAACGTCTGAACTCAGTAGTCCCCGCTATCTGGAAATTGAAAAGAGCACTCGATATTGGGTCAGAGAAACGGCTTCGGATTGCCATCTCGCAGGTTCGAGAGTTTGCGCAGAAAGTAGTGAGAGAAAAAACGAGGGAGCTTGAAGAGAAGTCATCGTTAGAAACCGTGGATCTTCTCTCAAGGATCTTGAGTTCTGGCCATCTGGATGAAAAGTTGGTGACGGACATGGTGATCAGCTTCATTTTAGCCGGTCGAGACACGACATCGGCAACCTTGACTTGGTTTTTCTGGTTAGTCTCTGGCGATTCTCACGTAGAAGAAGAGATACTAAAGGAGATAAGAGATAAGAGCGAAACACCAGATTACGACGAGGTGAAGGACATGGTTTACATCCAGGCGTCGCTCTGTGAAAGCATGAGACTATACCCACCGGTACCAAGTGACAGCAAAGAGGCAGCCATGGACGATGTTTTACCGGACGGTACGATAGTGAAGAAAGGAATGAGAGTGACCTACCTCCCTTACGCGATGGGTAGGATGGAGGGACTGTGGGGCCAAGACTGGAGGGAGTTCAGGCCTGAGAGGTGGCTGGAGAGGGATGAAGTCACCGGAAAATGGAGGAGATTCGTGGCGAGGGATCCGTATACGTACCCAGTGTTCCAAGCAGGGCCGAGGGTTTGTTTGGGGAAGGATATGGCGTTTCTGCAAATGAAGAGGGTGGCTGCCGGTATTCTGCGACGTTTCCGGGTCGTTCCGGCGATGGAGAAAGGGTTTGAACCGTTCTTTATATCGACGCTAACTTCTAAGATGAAAGGTGGTTTTCCGGTGAGGATTGAGGAGAGAAAAGGTCGTTAGGTTGCAATGCAAACGCTTGAGCAAACAGCTGACTGTAAATTATTAAAATGTAAAATACGAAATAAAATGATGTATTTCCTTTATAGCAAAAAATAATGCGGAGAAGTATGGATGCAGATTTTTGATTTACACTATAAAGCTATAAACATTTAAAATGTCAAAAACTCACTCTATAATTACCATCAATTTCCATCTAACCCCTACCTATCTAATGTACTTTGACCTACAAATTCTGACTCGGCGGAGCCGTCACTCCCAAAATAATTGTAGTCCCTATCTTTTTTCATGGCAGTAAGAAGGGTTATTTGTTTTTAACAAATCCTTGTATTAGATGAAGTACATCTTGGTGGAGCCGTTGTACTTGTAATACATCTGTCATTATTTTAGATTTTAGCCCTAAATTATCAGAACGTTATAGCAAAATTATAATTGAGCTTGGAGAAAGGTAAATTTGCATCATTTTCTTTTGGGAGTGCAAGCTAAAGTGTTTAAATTCTGATTTTCTTTTGCTTTAAATTATACTTTTGTCTTTTTTGTGTGTAAACAATCTTGGCATTTGTCAGTGAGATGTGAGGCACATTTTAAAATTTTGGTTGAATCAGAACGAATCAGCTTCGTTAGAATCAGAATTTATGTTAATTTGTAACTTGAATAGCTTCAGCTGCATTTGGTTGCAGCCCAAATTTCATTTGCATTGGTCTCAATGCATGGAGTGCAAAGAGGCTGAATGTAAATATTGATTTACTTTTGCTTCAGATTTGATTGTCTATTTTTCTTTGTACATGCAAAATATGAAGTAAAATGACCACTACTGAAATTCATCTATAGTGGTGGCCATAACTACTCTAAAAGCTTAAAAAATGCCTCTAAAGATTATAAGAGGTGGCCAGGTAAGTGCCTCTAAAAGCCCTGTTACTAAATGTTTTAGAAGCACTTGATTGAGCATTAGAGGTGGATTTAGAGGCACATACAACTGCCTCTATTGCACTGACGCTAAAAGTCCTATATAGAGACAGTTAAAAGTGCCTCTAAAAGTTCAATTTAGAGGCGCATTTAAACGCCTCTAAATGATTTTGTGACAATTTTATATGCCTCTAAAAGAAATCTAAGAAAAGGAAAAATCTATATGATTTAATATTTAGAGGCACTTTTTGGCTACCACTAAAGATACATGCTTTAAAGAGGCACTTTTGACCCTCTAAAAAGGTTCCAAAATTAAAAAAAAAAGTGCAATATATAGTGAATATTACTACATACAAATTCCAATTGATACACATGTATCAAAATATATTCAATCAAAACATAAAACCTATATGCAAATATATATATATATATATAAAATCCAAAAAGATACACCTTATCCATAAAATTCCAATTGACTTCCATCATCATAGAACAAAAAAAAAAACAAAAATCAAATTCCAACACAACTTTGATCAGGATGCAAGTATTTTTCATATGTAACTTTCAATTGTCCCCTTGCAGCAGCCTTCTGGAATTTCAAAATCATATCTGCACATTCTCTGCATATGAAACCCAAACAAATGCAATTCAATGCTTACTCATTGCACATCAAACACAGTTACGTGCACCTAAAAGATTAAAAACACACCTGAGTTCTGATTCTTCATAGTGTGCATGTCTGCTAAGTAGTGTGGTCCAAGCAAGGGCTATTTGCAGTGTACATCGTGCAACATATATAGCCGATGCACATAGCAAGGATGGTTTGAATTTCAAAGCTTCATATTCAACTAGGGACAGCTTAATAAGGTAGAAAGCGAGATGTTCAAGCTGGTCAAGAACCCAAAGAACAAAATTAAGTTTCCATCATTTTTGTTGCAATAATCAAATGGACCTCTTGAATGTTTTCAAGAAATTTGCACCAAAGTCCAAACAAAGACAAGGAAAAGTTAAAATTCAACAAGTGTATCTTGGACCTTCATATCAGACTGAGCAGCCTTGAGAAACCTTAACATGAACACGTATGGTGTTGGCACATTCAGACGGAACATCAACTTCTTGAGAATAAGACTCCTGAAAAGAGGAGCAAATTTACTACTTTGTTAAGACAAACAAGATAGTTGGGGAAAATAAACTTAAGATGCAAACCATTGAAGCATTTCATTTCTTGTTATGAATCAGCTGAGATGCTAATCAAATCCTTGACCTGTATTAATTAGAAAAATTAGTCAAAACATAAATTATTTTGTTCTCAGTAGCATATAAATTAATTTAGAAAATAGATCATAAAAATCCTTTAGGCATGGACAGGTATATGTACCTTTGGATGCCAAAAGTCCTCGTATTTTGATGCTAGCAACAGTGAAGTTAAGCCAACCAACTGCATTTCCTTCTTTGTAATTATATACACAGAAAGGAATCTGTCCATGCCACCATGAGAAACAATGTTTCTTGCATCAGTCCAAAGTATGTCTCCCTGCAAATACCATCCATTTCTGATTAATGAGTTAATGGATCTCATCTCCAACAATCCATATTAGATACCTGTAGCTCAAAGTATGTCTCCCTGCAAATACCATTCATTTCTGATTATGAGCTTGGTAATTAATTGATGCTTTGTCTCAATATGAAGAAATTTAATCTTGGAAGCCATTAGGCAATTTCATTCATCAATGCTTATTCTATGTTTTTATCATAAAGAAACCAAAAAGGTCTATAGTAATTAGTGTCAATCATCCGATACTATATATGTTCATTTCAAAAGTCAATAGAATATTATTGAACTAGACTCATAAAGAGTCTTATATTCTTTCTTTGCATTAGTGTTTGGTGGGTACAAATGTCTTCACATTTTCATGGGGTCTTAATTAAATTAAGGAAATAAACCCATGGAAACCCTTGAAAGAAACCCTGAAAGTATTTCATTAGAAGACACAATATTGCTCAAAACAAGTGGGAGTAGGCCAATATACTATTCAGATCACCATACAAACTTGTACAATTCATCTATCCATTTTCAATTTGCCCAAATCTGATTTGGTGTTTTTTTTTTTTTTTGTAAATTAGTTGGTTAAGGGTCCTGCGACTTCCAGTACCATGGATTCCACAATCTATTTCTTATGTAATACAATGAACAGAATTTTGTTGATTGTGCTTCTCGTATTCAGATTCCAGAGTTATAGATAAATACTACCTCCATGGTTATATAGTTTGCAACTCTTGTTCTATCTGATCTTCTGATCTTCTAGTTTATTGTATAGTATAATATTGAACCACAAAATAATCTGTAGAAATAAAGTGTATTTCAAAACCAACTAGTTTACATTGCCATTTGAAGAATGACCTTTTTGGATTTCTAAACAGAGTTCAGAAGGCAAAGCATGGATTTGGCATGCGGGTTCCAAGAGTCCTGTGTAAATGATGGTCTTGCTAGGTCTACTAAGGCTTCAGCTGCTATTGATGATATGGGGAAGAAGTTGAAGTAATTCCAAGAGTCCTGCACAAATGATGGTCTTGCCAGGTCCTGGTCCAGTACAGCTTCAGCTGCTATTGATATGGGGAAGAACTTGAAGTAATTCTAAGAGTCCTGTGCAAATGATGACCTTGATGGGTCCACAAAGACTACATATGCTATTGCTACAAGTAGGAACTTGAGGTAAATCTGAGAGTCCTGCACAAATGATGGTCTGGCTGGGTCCACAAAGGCTTCAGATGCCATTGATATGGGGAAAAACTTGAAGTAATTCTGAGAGTCCTGTGCAAATGATGGTTTTGCCATCTTGCTGAATCCACTAAGGCTTCAGCTGCTATTGTTGTGGGGAAGAAATTGAATTAATTTGGAGAGTCCTGTGCAAATGATGGTTTCTGGGTCAACCAAGGCTTCAGCTTCTACTAATGTGGGAAAGAACCGGAAGCAGAGCAACATTAGTACCCCTACCTTGTACCAACCTAAGTGAGAATTAGTTCTGCTAGAATTCTGCATTTTCCTAAGAAATTAAGCAATAGCTTGTGTGACAGAGAGCACCCTCTACTAAGCCAAACATTGGGCAACCACCTCTGGTCCTGAATCAAATTTACAACCCACTCTTGATGTTGAAATTTCAATACTAGAAAAATGACCCTTAGACCCATAAAGCAACAAAAAAAAAAAAAAACAAATACAATATTATAACTGACAGTCTAAGATTTCTCTAAGCTTTCATGTATGTTGTCATGGTAGCTCAGCAAAGAGATTTTAGTTATTAATTTAAAAACATATTACAAGTGCTTTAACTATGTATACTCTCCATGCAATTATAAAGTTGATGTTTAAGACATTTGAATATGTATAGATGGACATATACTGAACCTCCACAGCTACTACTCCCAAGAAATCCAAGTAAAAGCATGGTGCCAAAACTTAAATACATAAAAATGCCAGCAAAGAAGGAAAGCTCTAGAAAATTTACATGAAGACAGAGGGCTACTAATAGCTTGAAGGCAATTTGTCCCTAGAAAATTGATTGTGAAAGGGTCCCTCAAACTAGTTTATAGAACTCTAGCTTGAAGGCTTCAGCTATCAAACTGGATTCAATTCAGCAAATTGATTGAGTATGATAGCAGAGCCATATGAACAAGAGAACAGAATACTATAAACTAAAACAAAACCTCGTGATGTACGTAACTCAATTACTTCAGTTGGTTACATGAGTCCCACTTCACTACGCCACCCTATTAGGAGCCAATATCATCTACTAAGTTCAGATTCCTTAAATTTTTTTCACAAAACCTTAATCATTTCCTTTTTTGGCGTAGATAACTGGTAATATCACTTCTATTATGTAACAAATTTATTAAGCAAAATAGAGAGTAGCCAATATAGAAGTAGAGGTTCTTTTTTTTCTTATCCCAAGAGATTATTCACAAAAAACAAACTGCATTACTGCTCAGAAATAATCTTTCACCAAAGAGCTACAATATGTAAATGCACACAAGAGGATCCTTCGTAGAGCAAAACTATGCCATCTGTTGAAAAAAAAGGTCAAATGCACAAGAATATTAAAACAAGCATACTGTAGATACAAACAAAGTGAAGGTTACAAATTGAAAAGAAAAGAAATAAGCAAGACAAGGCTCATGAATTGGATTCCTAAACATAGATGCAAACTTGGAATTCAAGCAGATATAACATCTAAGCTCCAAAGACAAACTAAAACATAGATACAAACAAAGGGAAGGCAAACTATCCTTTTCTATGCAGATCTGTTAAAGAAAAAAAAATATGTGATATTAGAATAGTGTCAGCAATCAAAATTTGAGAGACAATCATTTTTTTGACCAATAGATATGAGACAATCTTTTTTTGGCCATTAGATATACAAACCCGAAGTCCACGGACTCCATCTGTTACCAGAAGAGTTATCGTCCCGTAATCTGAATGAGCAGAAGCATCATATGTTCCATCACTGGAAATACCCATTCCACCTGAAATCAAAATTTAAGTGTACTGTAAAAAATTATAGAATTTCATGAAACAATTAATATTCGTTAAAAAAATAATTAAATAAACCCATAGAAGCAGAAAATTTGCACGGTAGAAGTACCAAGCGAATATAAAAGAGGAAAAGCAAAAGAATCAATTTACCAAAGGGAGCTTTTGCATCACAGGAATACACCCCCAATGCAGGAAGCATCAAAAGTGGATCCTAACTTTCACGGAACTTCCCCGAATCAAAATCACCTTCACTCTATTAAAAGAAGATAATCAGATACACAAAAAATCAGAGTCTATATCCCAATAAATTAGTAAATATATAATCACGCCTATCCAAAATATCACTATAATCCAAGTCCCATACCACTACCCAAAATTTGATTTCTGATCCAGAAATCTTGAGCCAGGAGCTACATATCCATAGCCCAAACTTTCACAAGTTACTAACAATACACGGTTTTCTCAATAAAACCCGATTGGAGGGAGAAAGAATAGAGGAAATATCCCAAGATAAAAGAAAAAAAAAATAGAAACCAAAGCCAAATCCTTAGGAATTTTTGAGGCAAGCCTATGAGAAATACCGTGAGAATCATGAATAATGACACCGTTTTGAGGAGTCAAACCGTTCTTCACAAACGTGCAGATGTTCTCCTCAACATCCTGAACGGAGATTTTCAACCAAGAGGGTGGAGTCCTCTTGTACGACAGAACTGATGAAGATATACCCTTACCACGACTGTGCATACGACCCATGTTGACGACGTTGGAGTTGCAGCTCCCACTTAGCTCTTTCACTCTCTTTTGAAACGAGCATGAGCAGAAACCCTTGGCTTGGAGAAGAGGCGGAGAGTCAATCGTTTGTTCGATATGAAATTTAGCTTTCGCGCGTGATGGTTTTTGGTGCCGATCCTTAAAAATAGCGACTACTTTCTTTTATCCCGCCAATAAAAAAAGATACAGAGGCATTAAAAATGAAATAAGCCTGCCTTCTTTGACAGTGATACGGGATGAGGTCCCTGCCTTGTAAGAGAATGGAGAAGTAGGAGGGAGTATTTTGATTTGGAGATTGGAGTAAGAAAGGAAGCAATATGATGTGGTCGAGACTCGAGAGAATTGAGATCGGAGATTTTACATCAATTTTTGGGAAAAATTTGTACTGCTTGTGATTGCATATGAGACAAAAAGTACAAATATTGTAAGCAAATTAAATCATGGTTATTCCTTTTCTCGTATGAAAATAGGGAAACCTGTACGTATAAATCTTGTATGAGTTTCTCTACCTTTTCCTTCAAACCAAACACAAATGAGACTTGTGAGGAATCTCAAGAAATATGAATGAGACCTGTGAAGAATCACGGGGCACTTGTCTCACTAATTGAACGAGGAATTTGCTCTGCAATATATATAGATCTGATCGGTTTCACCCCTCATCTTCTCTCCTTCCTAGTTCTTCCTAGTCGAATCAAACACCTCTTCTTGAACCTTTGTCTTGTCACCATGAATTTATCTCTCAAACCTCCATGATTTCCACAATAGAACCTCTGACAAGATGCCCAATTCAATCACCTGGAATATATTAGGTTCCCGGTAGAACATAACAGAAATCTGTCTACTTCGAGGAAGACAAGAGAACTCCAGGAGATAAAAATCTCAAATGATGATAATTCTCATAATAATTAGGCCAAGTTTGGGAGTGCTTATTGTATTAAGCACTTAAGAGCATTTAGCGAAAAATCACTTATTTTAACAGGGGTAGGATAGGTATTTTCAAAATGACATGGCAGGTTGAAAAGAAATAAGCACTTATTGAACAAGTATTTAAAATAAACCCAAATTTGGGCTTCTCAATTAAGTGCTTATTTTAGGCTTATTTTCCAAACCCAAATAAATGTTTATTGGTGTGGTCCCAATCCAAAATAAGTGTTTATTTGAATAAGCACTTATTTTTAATTACTTCCAAATTTAGCTTTGGCTGAGTTTGGAAGGAGGACAAATGAAAATATGTAAAGTGCAAAACCTTATATTTTGTATGTATTTATGTTGTACATATTTGCATTTGTACTCTTTCCAAACTGAGCGTTTAGATTAAGAGGAGAGTTATAAATTAAATAGACACTTGACCAATTGTTACAATTGACTCTTAAAAACTTGGCTCATTAAGTGTGTCATCTATAGTATGGATGAGAAATTGGTGGGTGTGGAATATAGTTCATATTTGTTCTGAACTATTGACAAACTGTATAGATTTGACCAGTCCACATCCATAATGGCATTCTGTAAGCGTGGTGTGGATTAATCCATACCACACTTTTTGATTCCATATATCTCATATACATTTTATGAATGATCTACATAATCAATCATAAATGTCTAATTTTTGAATTTTATATGATAAAAAATTGAAAAAGAGGCATCAAAAAATTAATATTAACTAATAAATATTAGCTTAATAAAAAGATAGTAAAATAATTAAAAATTAAAAAATATTATTTTAAATATTTAAAAATATTATTTTATTGATAACAAATATTAAAAATTAATATTTAAATAAATGAAAAAAGAGTGGAAGAGGAGTACAATTGGATTTGTGCTAGAATTAACATTAAAATTATTATTTTATTGATAAAATATTAAAAAATAAAATTAAAAAGAAAGAAAAATATATAAAAGAGATGTATTGTATCAAAATAGAGTGTAAAAATATTATAAACCGATCACATCTACGAGATATATGTATGGCCAAAATTTTACACTATGGATGAAGATGATTCACGATATATTATGAACCAATCTCATCCACAACCAACTGAAAGCCATAGCCATCCAATGGTATAAACAAAAACGAGTCATCCAAGAGATGGCCATGGTTCCAAACAACTTTCTATCCTACATTAATAGGCCCAATAAGCAAGCAACCCAATATATAAATTGTGGAAATAAGAAAGAAAAAGTGAAATAAAAGTAAGCCCATTAATGGGCACCATCCCACTCAAATAAACGCAAACCCATTAATGGGCACCTAACATTTCCACTCCCTTCGAATTGACCTAGCCCTCAAGATCGAAACCTTCAATGAGTCAAAATACAGCCTGTATTACATGGAAACCTCCACCGCTTGTTCCATAATGCTTTCTCCACCACCTGGGGGCCCAATTCCTTTATAGCATCTTAACTTTTCTCCCGTACAATCCGAGCATTTGGATTGGACCTATGATTGGACAGTTGAATTTGCACCAAACTTCTCTGAAGCAGCAAGTGGTTGTATTCCGGAAACAAGACCTCCATCTTTGAGTTCAGATTTGGAATTAGAAATATTTTCAAATTCCACATTCTGTTCAACATCATATCTTGATGCCCATAGTTCAACCGTTTTTCTGTTTGAACTTTTGCCATAATCCTCTTTAGCTTGAGTCGGCATTCCCATGTTCATTTCGGGTCTTGTCTACCATCAATGCAATGTGGCTCTGGAAAGTTCATAACCGATTTAAGATAAAGAATCACTGTTCATTTTTTATAGAAAATGGATCCTCATTTCACTATGATAAATTTGATATATAAATATATAATAAAAACTAGAAATATATATAAAATATTATATTTTAAATAATAAATAATATATTATATATTTATATATATAATGTATATTTATTAATTTATAATATATAGAAAATATAAAATATATATAATATACATAAAATATATGTATACCAGTCGGTTTGGTTAATCGGATTTCTGGTTTTGGTTTTGGTTCAGTTCAGTTTTTAGGTTTTTACTGATATCAGCCCCTACCCTCATGAGGTTTGATATTGGGGTAGATGGAAGGGTGATTTTATCCGATCCGTATAAGTGCAATCTTCCTAATTTAGCCGTCAACCATTGGAGATAAGTCACGACATTTGATGGTGGGTTTAATGAGGGAGTCTTGGGATGAAATTTAAAGCATTTTAGAATATCTAGAATCTGAATGAAAAAATAAATTTTTGGTTGGAGTTATGAATTTAAAGGTTTGATTCAGCTATGGTTTTAGCTTATAGTTCATCAACCAATAGGAGGGCTCAAAATGGAATCTAGCTAGTTTTGAAAGGAAATGTAGGAATTTAGGGTTGGAATAGGACATTTTGAGGTTTTTTAACTCAAAGGGAGGGTTTTGGTTATTTAGACTACATGTTTTTTGTATGATTTAATCGTAAAGGTCACATTAGGATCTTTAACCATCTAATAGTTAAATAGAGCAATTTTGAGCCGAAATTCAATGTGTAAGCATAAATTTATGTGTTGAACCAAGGTTTTGATCTAATAGAGTTGTTGATTATGGCCATTCTAGTTTTGTTCATCTAAGGCCATTAGAATGGAATCTTGGCAATTTTTATAGTTGATCATCATTCATCAAGTTTTGAGATGGGATCTGGTGCTGGTGGTTAACTATATTTTAGGCTCCGTTCGCTTTTTGGTAAGTTATTTACCCAAGTAAATGCCTAGGTAAATTATTCCTAGAAAGCACTTACCCGTGTAAGTGCATTTACCCATGTTCTTTTATTTCTCATGTAAATAAGGTATGGCCATTTTAGCCATAAAAATCCATTAATAAAAAGGGCATTTTTGTCCCATTCAAGTGTTGGAAACTTCCCCCCTAAGTGGGAAAGTTATTTACCCACGTAGGGGCTAGGTATCACTTATTGGGTAAGTGATACCTAGGAAAATAAACTTTCCCTAGTCCCCACATAAATCTGAAAAAAGAACATGTGACTCTTGGTCAATGGGAACCAAAATCCCATTGACCAACTTCCCNAAAAAACGCTCCCTTAGTGCCTTTAAGGTGATGGATGTATAAGATATGGTTTTGTAAATTCAAGGTTTGAATATTGTATTAATTAAGACCATCAAATGAAAGTTGATACGATAAATGGTGGATCTTTCAAGTTTGGTTGTAAAATTTAACGTACAACTAAGGTGGCATTCGGTTGTATCAATCGACCACCGAATACTAAAAAACTATATTTTTTAGTGATTGGTGGTCATTTGGCTCACCTTCGAATGGAGCCACCAAATGCTGAAAACTCTTCCGAACTCTTCATACATAGGAGTTCAAATCAGCTCCCCACAATGTCCCACAACACATTCCCACCGTGTATTGGGAATATCTCTCGATGATAATACCAAAAATAAAGATATCATCATTGGGAGATGTTCCCAATACACGGCGGAGATATGGTGTGGGACATTGTGGGGGACAATCTTGTGGGGGGCTGATTTGATCTCCATACATAGAGTTACCTCCAAACGCATTCGAAGGTAGTACACAGAATTTCTTTTCCAACAATACCCTTCAAAAAAACTCAAAAGTATTTTGTTGTCTTCCCCTAGCTAGTCCGTCTCTTTTTCACCATGGCTACTAAGAAATCATAATCTCTCTTCATCCCAAAATCTTGGTTCATCATCCTTGTTGCTCTATCAGGTATCATGGTTGATGTTCAAATTAGGAGATTCAATCTACGAAAATGACACAAAAGACGAAGATGACGGCACTAGTTTTAGGTGGAGAGACAGATAATAACACAAATGGTGCTCTCATGAGCAATCATCATGTGATTACGACGAGGGATCTGGGGTTTTTGAGGAATCTATTGATTCTAAAGGTAATTTGTGTAAAACCAGCTCAAAACTTACTTTCTTTGATATTGAGTTCTTGTATTTGTTTGCTAATTGCTTAGCAAATCCTGTCCTCCTATAATACATGTTAAATCAAAAGTACTTGGTTTGCAACTAGGTCGATGGAATGGGATTAGCTTAATTCATTTTATATTATTTTTAATAATACTATATGACCTGTTTTATATTTTTTAATTTTTTATTTCCTTTATTTTTTCCTTTTTTACATATTATAATAATTTTTTTACTAATCTATCTTTTTTTACATTATTTTTTATATTATTTTTACTATTTATTATATTTATGATAATTTTTACTATTATATTTATAGTTTTCTAATATTTTCTTTTTTCTACATTTTATTATGTTTTATAATACTTTTTACTATTTTATCATTTTTAACATTATTTTTAATTTTTATTTATATCATTTATTGATTTTTATCATATTTTATATTTTATATTATTTTTGTAATATTTTTTTATAATATCATATTATTTTAATCATTTTCATTTACTTTTATTTAAATAATTACTTGGGGGATAAATTTATAAAATGCAAACTTTTCAGATGTCACAACATTCAAATTAACAAATAACTTCACTATATTCAGATGCTTGCAAAAGTAAAAAAAAAAAAAAAAAAGAAAACTTTCCACTAGCTTTTGCATATGTTCTTTTGGATTTTTAGACTTCGAAGTTCAGATTTAGTGAATACCCCTTAAGCTTTAGTTCTCTAAATTCAAAGATTGTGTCTAATTTGGATATGAATACTTGTGTAGTGTCAAATGTTGATTTTGTCATTCTCGTTAATTAGGAGTACTGTTGAAATGAATGGTGGTTTTTTGAAAATCGAAGGTAAATTGTGTCTACCTAAGGCTTAGTTTGGAAGGAGTGCAAATACAAATATGTATGTACAAATACATACAAAATAATACAAAATGTAAGGTTTTGCACTCTACATATTTGTATTTCTACTCCC